GACTGATTCTCTTCTAAAAGATGGCTTCTCCTGTTGAAGAAGGTAACTCTAACCATATCTATATTCAATACAATTAAAAAAATTCATAATTGACTTGATCATCGAATTATCAGTAGCTAGCTCCTGTACTTCCAGTGCTTTCTGCTCGATTAGCTGAAGATATAGTTTTAAGTATATGGGTTATTCGCTGTAGAGAATTATATGTAGAAATATGGTTCTTACCAGTTAACCCCCCACCCCCCCACCCCACCCCCACCCCACCCCCACCCCCCTAGATGGAGATGTATACAAATTTTACTTTGCGAAGTAAATTCAGGTAGCTAGGGCTTACACTGAACATAAAAGTGAAGATTGTGAGATGAAAAACTTAAATCTAGTTATGTTAGAGTAAAGTGTTGTACCTTATGTTTATTGAGTTGTACCTTGCTTTTATATAGAACACTTAACTTGTCCAACTTTACTTTGCATTTCAATAGACATAAGCTACAGCCTTTTTCAGTTATCTATCCTAACATACTATAAGCAATTAACTCAACACATGAGCAATTTACTTTAGTTAGTTTTGTGTATTTTGCGGATTATTAGATGACAATTAATCAATCAATTGTAAAGAAATTTGAAACTAATTTGGGTTCGCTATCAATCAATACTAAAGAATGGTTACTTAGATGACAATTTGAAGAAATTAGGAAAACTGAAGTTTGTCCGATGTATGGGAATAATTTTTGAAATATTCCTCTTTTATGCTTTGATACTTGGTAGTTTTCAGTTCTGAAGACTTTATGATGGAGTTACTTGTTTATTTATAAGTAGTCGCGCACCTGATTCTTGATTATCTAATGCTGAGTAGCTGCTCATTTTTGCTGACTGTTTTTGTATGTGCTTGTACTAGGTGACAGAGATATCGAGAAAGGGTTGATTACTCCAACACTCAGCCATAACCCTCTAGCTGAGCCATCACCGGCCCCATCTCCATCTTCAGCAACAGCACCAGCTCTCGTGCTTTCCAATTCCGGCAAGAGAATTGACCAAGCAGGGAAAAAGAAATATGTAAAACAGGTGACGGGAAGGCACAATGACACTGAGCTTCATTTAGCAGCTCAGAAAGGTGATCTAGCAGCAGTGAAGCAGATACTTAATGATATCGATACCCAAATGGTGGGGACTCTGAGCGGCGACGACTTTAATCAAGAGGTTGCAGAGATCAGAGCATCTGTAGTAAATGAAGTAAATGAATTAGGAGAGACAGCACTGTTTACAGCAGCAGCGAAGGGATATCTTGATGTGGTGAAAGAGTTGTTGAAGTACTGCAACAAGGAAACTCTTACTAAGAAGAATCGGTCAGGATTTGATCCTTTGCATATAGCTGCAAGTCAAGGACACCATGGTAAAGATCTTAGATTTCTTGATCATTTGATCTATTTATTCCTTTTTAGGCATCATTTATTTGTCGTTCTGGTAATGGGGTTTTAGCTTAAATTTGGCTTGTTAAGTTTCTCGTTTGGATAGATGAAGGATAGAGTCTAACAAGACGTTGGACAATGAAAAAATTGCTAACCAAGGGCAAGTTATATGTCTTGTCTGAATAGATATTAACACTATGAAATCGCAATGGTTTAGACTAACTTGACAAATAGTAAATATCAATAAAACTAAAGAATCAGTAATAAGGTGATAAATGAGTTAGTTAGCTTGCTAAACTAATTTTTATCAAAATTCTGACTTGAACTTGGACCCCAACTTCATGCCTCAGGGTTGGAGGTGGAGTTATCTTTTGATTATGCCTTGTCAAAGAGAATATAAAATTGAAGTGATTTTGTTTTAGAATATCATTCCATCAGTCTCGATATAGCTGATGCTGGTTGTACTAGAAGGTCCGCACTTTTATGATATTGACCTATTGCAACCTAGTGTGCTAAAAATATGTGTGGAGAATTATGCAGAAATCATTCTAAAAAAATGCTGTAGTTCAGTAAATTTTGAAAATGGATTTTAAAGATGCCATAAGATAATAGTTATTGGACAAAGACTGATGCTTGCTCTCTTATAACAGCAATCGTCCAATTGCTGTTAGAGCATGATCCTGGACTGAGTAAAACGTTTGGCCCTTCAAATGCAACCCCTCTTATAACTGCTGCCTCAAGAGGACATATTTCAGTGGTCAATGAACTGCTGTCGAAGGATTGCAGCTTACTAGAAATTTCTAGGTCCAATGGTAAAAATGCATTGCATTTAGCTGCAAGACAAGGGCACGTGGAAATTGTTAAGGCCTTGCTTGACAGAGATCCACAATTGGCAAGGAGGACTGATAAGAAAGGGCAAACTGCATTGCATATGGCTGTAAAGGGGATTAGCTGTGAGGTGGTGATATTGCTTCTCGAGGCTGATGCTGCTATAGTTATGCTGCCAGACAAGTTTGGCAACACAGCATTACACATAGCCACCCGGAAAAAGCGTGCAGAGGTAGGCAATCTGTTACTCAAACATGACGTTTTAATGTAATACTTCTTCCCCCAAATCCCCATCCCACCAAAAACGACATCACAATTTCTCTATGGTGTTTCTGTTCGTAATGCATGGTGTGCTGCAAAGCATGTCACAAAGTTACTATTGTATATGACAGGTGAGAAGAAAATTATTGTTAATCTGATGTTTTTTCTTTCCTGATCAAAAAATAACTTTTAATCTGCATCTTGTTCTTTAAATGGATTAGTGGCCTGACTTGGAATGTTCGAAGTGATTATAGAATCAGGAACTGCTTCTTACACACATGGCTACGTAAATCATATTAGCTTTGCTGGTCCATATTTGGGTATTAGAAGCTAAACCTTCAGTGCGGTGGCATTTCATAATCTGATACTAGCTTATTAAACCTTCAGTAACTTAGAATTCTGCATCCATGATGACATTTTCCCTTTATGTTCTCAGAGAAATGGTTTGACTTCTAGAACTGTCAGGCAATTGTACGAACCTCATTTTTGAATGGTCTTACAAACTGCTACTGCCTAAAATACCTTTTTATTTTTCTTTCTTTCTCAAATTTGTTGGTGCTCGTCTCTAGATTATACAAACTATGGATCACCATGGAATCCATTGTTACAATAATCATGGTCCTTGGCCGCATCATTTTATAGCAAAGTTTCTATTCAGCTACCTGAAGCATTTCTCTTCTTGCTTCTAACATTTCAGAACTTTGCCTTGCAGATAGTGAGGGAGTTGCTACGCCTGCCTGATAGTAATGTTAACGCACTGAACAGAGATCACAAGACAGCTCTTGACATAGCTGAAGATCTTCCCCTCTCTGAGGAATCTGCAGAAATAAAGGAGTGTTTATACAAATATGGAGCTGTTAGAGCTAATGAATTGAACCAACCAAGGGATGAGTTGAGGAAAACTGTTAGCCAAATCAAGAAAGATATTCACACACAGCTTGAACAAACTAAGAGGACCAATAAAAATGTCCATGGAATTGCTAAAGAGCTTAGAAAGCTCCATCGAGAAGGGATCAATAATGCAACGAATTCTGTGACTGTTGTTGCTGTTCTCTTTGCCACAGTTGCATTTGCAGCTATTTTTACTGTGCCTGGAGGTGATGATAATAATGGAGTGGCTGTGGTTGTGACCACTGCTTCTTTTAAAATCTTCTTCATCTTCAATGCCCTTGCACTTTTTACGTCTCTAGCTGTTGTCGTAGTTCAGATTACATTGGTTAGAGGAGAAACAAAGGCAGAAAGAAGAGTGGTAGAGGTAATTAACAAACTGATGTGGTTGGCTTCTGTCTGCACTTCAGTGGCATTTATGGCATCCTCTTATATAGTGGTTGGTCGCAAGTTTGAGTGGGCTGCAATATTGGTAACAGTAGTAGGGGGAGTAATAATGGCTGGGGTTCTTGGAACCATGACTTACTATGTGGTAAGATCAAGGAAGAAAAGATCGATAAGGAAGAAGGAAAAGCACGCGAGAAGTGGTTCCAACTCATGGTACCACTCTGAGTTCTCTAATTCAGATATTGACAGAATTTATGCCCTTTGAAGTGGAGAGTTGCTACATAATGAGGAAACTCCCAAGAGTTTTCAAACGAAAGGGTTGCAGTGTTGTATGTAGTGAAGGCATTGTTATTGAGTTGAGGACTGATGAACAACTCATATCCTTTCCTAAGAGCATTTAAACTTAATCCCTGCACTTGGAGGGAACTGCAAGTTCAAATGAAGAAGTTTGATCTGTTCATGTTTGGAGGGAGGTTCCATTTTACGCGAAGTTTCCTGGCAACAAGGAAGGTTTCTGTCTGAACCAGAATATGATGCAAAGATGTATAATTTCTAAGCTACACTCATGGAACTGTAGATTTTAATTTGTGGCGCGGGATCTGAATATTCCTGTATAATCTAGCATCAGGAAAGACATCGTAAAAACAATTCATTAAGCTCCCACTTTATGTTGTAAAGTAGCTACCATTATGGAAGAATTCTATGTAACCTACATGATGTTAGTTGTATGTGCCTGTTTGGTCTATTGCATCTAAATGTTATGCACTTATGCCATGACAGGCTGAGAGTTCCAGTTGTCGTATAATCAATGTATAATCTGTAACAATCCCTAAGTTTTTTCTTTGAGTAGTTTACCAAAACTGAAACTTATGGCAGTTTGGTGTAATTTCTGATTGTCCAACTTATAGTACTTTTGGGGTAATTTTTGAATATCTAAAACTTAGTTAAAAACGTGATCTCATATAGTCCAATTTAGCTTTAAAATTGATTAGATCGACTCTTCATAAGCAAAAGGCGCTTAACAAAGGATCATCTTGTCCACTTAAACCCGGACTATTTTTTTTTTTTTTTTTAAATTTAACTGTTTTATTTTATATAATTACATTTTATTAGACACGCAATTTAAAATAGTAATTTGACTTATTATATATGCTATATTAGTGACATTAGGAAAAACAATTAAAGAAATAGTTGCAAGGTTAATTTTAAAAAGAATCATATCAAAGCTCAAAGTTGAATTAGTTAATGATTCGTTTTCCAATTTAAAAACAGTTCCAAAGGAAAATTGAGCATACAAATCACTTGCCAAGGGCTTCGAGATGGTTCGCGTACACGTGAAGTACGGCGACGGCGACGGCGACGGCGAGTTCCTCTACGACACTGAAACGACTTCAACAGTTGATGAAATCGCCAAAGACATTACAGAAATCGCGAATCTCCAATTGAAGATTCAATACCTCGCCCTCAAATTCCAGCCTTATCTCTCCAAGCTTCAAGGCGATCCTAAAGGTTTTTTACAATCATAAATAAATTCTACAAAATATCATACATAATCATGATTATGAGTTGAAATTGTTATTAGTTTCACTTAAACGGTTTATAAAATTGTCAATGCAGTGATGCCTCTTGTCAGAGCTCTCTCAGAAGCTACTTCGTACGCCTCCAAGGTTTGTTTCTGTATGCTTTTTTTTTTTCATTATTGCTTTAATATTTGCTCTAAAATGCTTATTTATGTTGTTAGTATAGTGATATCATGATGTTTAGTGAGTAAGTAATTACTTACATTGTTAGAGTGGGCGGCGCAGTTGTTATTCCTTTATTTATTTGGCACATTTTGTATTTTTGGAATGTTCAAAAGTATATGATTATCCCATTTATAATTTTCTTATTATTATAGTGCTCATATGCACCTCGACTAATTCCTTAGGTAAAAAAGCAAAAACAGTCTTGGTGGACAGAATTACATGATACCTGTGCTGGGGGAGGTACTAGGTACCCCATGAAATTTGTCGAAGTGTGTGCAAGCTATCTCGGACACCATGCACGTCTATTTGTAAAAAATCCACTAGGTACCTACAATCTCCTACTAGCTATTGGGTGACTCTGCTCACCAAGGTGTCCATTCCAGTGATAGTATTTTTATAGAAGGTTCAAACTAGTTAAAATTGTCTCTCTATCTTTTTTTTTTTTTGGTTGTTGTTGTCAAACTAGTTAAAAATCCAAATTCATTTAATTATTCAAAATATACTTAGATGTGGTGTTTTCTCTGTTAAAACAAAGTTTCCAACCATTACTTTAATAATCTTTTTCTATGATCACTGATATAATAAATGTCTAGTCAAACACTGTCGTATTATGGAGCAATAGGAGTATTTTGCAGTGAGATGAGTTTGTTCCTATACACATCATATCTAGTGGTCTATTTCATTTTATTTGTCATGCTCTATCATTTGAAGGCCGTAACCCTGCTTTTAACATACGAAGCAGAGATTGATGGATTAGGAAAAAGGAAAGAAATCAAGCAATCAAAAAAGTGAGGCTGAAGATCAAGATGGTTGAGCATCTTAAACAATTCCGTGCATATCAAATTAGTTTTGTGCTTACACAATGTCTATAGAATAAAAACGTTGTAAAGCTTGAAGATTTAACTTGAAATGTTGCAAAAGATAATTTTGCATCGTTGCATTTGGTGGTTCAATTGGTGATGATAGGTTCTGTTGATCTCTGTTTTCTGAAGGAAAGTTTTTGTAAAGATGATGAAATGGATTGCAGGACCAGGTTATACATAACAAGCCTCTATCATTGTGTGTACTAAGAGATCACACAAGAAGCATTGAGAAGGAATTCTTGGTAACATGCAGAGTAATCGGATTATCAAGTTCCGATTTGCAGCAGTTCTTGTCAGGTATGTTCATAATTACTTATTTCAGCCTCTTGTGCCATATATGCTTTCAACTGCATGTTATTGTTGATAGCCAAGTCCATTGTTCTTCATACTTCTAGATAGAGACATTTGAGGCTGCAAATATGCTTTTAACAATCAGTTTAGAAAGAGATGCGGTTGCTTGTTTAGTTCCCCGTGCTATTATAACCTGATTTGATCATGTTACTTTGGTGATTGAATGGCTTTCACTTTTTTATAGATCGTGGCTTGTACAATATTTTAAGCTATTGGTGAAAAGTTTTGTTTTTGAAAACTTCATGGTCTTCAGGGGTGTTCAGAAAAGCTATTGCAGATGAATAACATTTATCTTATGCATTTGAAAATGCAGTATGCTATGTTCAAAGTTATGGCGCAAGAAAGTGAATTTACAGTAAGCGTGCTCCCTGGGGATGTCATGTCCCGCTTCCTTGGCATCTTTTTTGTGACATGAAAAGTGATGTTACGCCACAAATATATAAAAAGGTGTAATCTAATTGACTGTGACACTAATATACTAATGTAGTTCACTTATTATAAAATTAAAACTAATATATTAATAAAGTTCTTATTTTTGCTCCTCTTTCTTTTGGGTTTTACCAACTAGATCAGCTTGGTGTGCTCACTTCTTCGGATTTTCCATAATCAGACCCATCCTATGTATGGAACGTTGTTAGTTCGCTGCGTAAAGCACTTTCAACAATACTTGCTTTGATCTACTTTTTAAATTATTTCTAATATTTCTGGATTTTTGCATAAAATCACTTTTCTGTTGGTTGACGTCTAATAACATGTACATTGTTTACTTATCACGGGTATGGAGTTGCTCTGTCAAAGGCTTAATATGAACTAAAAATTGTCTGTTTCCCCTGAAGATCGTGAAGTTCTTGAAATCTAAGTTTCTCACCAAAAGCTTCAAATATTGTACAAGCCACAATCTATAGAAATAATGAAAATTAATCACCAACGTAATTTGATCAATCATGTTATAATAGCTATTCTGATTCTCATCACCTGCTAAATGACAAATATATAAGCTTAATGCTATGAATTACCCCAACCTATATAATCAGGCCCACAGTTCCACTTCATTCGTGTTATAGGTTAACACTTCTGAACCACTTGATGAGAACATAGTTCAGTCTCTGGGCAAATGAAAGTGAAACCTTCAAATGTTGAGTGAACAAGAGAATGTTGCTATTCTTTATTTTTTCCCCATTCGTTATTCGGTCTGCACGCTTTCTAGAATGAAGCTCAAAGAAATCAGCAATCATGGATGACTATTTGATTCGCAGGCTTACATCTCCATGAAGAAAATACATTGCAACTTTTGTGGGCAGGAAAAGAGCTCACCAGAGGGAAAAAGTTGTGCGACTTTATAGGAAGAAATGAGAAGACAAAGGTACATAAATTTTTTTCTCCACCTGTCGCAAGGATATATCAGTACACTAACATTATACCTACTGGTGGCAGATTCTAATTAAGCTGCAGCCACATGTTCCACCTCCTGCATCACTTTCTGGTACTTCTTTTTCTCACGGGAGTGGGATTTTTTTTTGGGAGGGGGTGGAGGCCAATTGCAATAATTTGAGAGATATCTTACTGTCATTTTTGTTTTCTGCACTCTATATCTTTTCTTTTCTTGCCACATCAAAATAAAACTTGATGCATTTTTATTTTATTCTGAAGGTGGAGAAAATTCTTGAAATAAAATGTCCTCTGGTCCGTGAATGACTTTCAAATTGAGGAACACACTCCTCTTGAATGCCTTTCTTGTTTATTGGCGTGTATTCCTTCCTTCTGAGCTGCAAAGGTTTGTGACTTACCAAGACATTTAACTGCCTGCTAGTTGACAGGATGTTGCAAATACTGCACGCCTGAATTATTTATGTACTCCTTGCATCTCAACTATGACGACTGTCCTGAACATTCTAATGCTTAATGCCACAAGTCAAACTCAGTGAATCATGTCATCAGATTCCTATAATTTGTAAGCTAATGGAAATATTTATTTATTTTTATGGATTTTTGTCTTCCAAAAGGTGTCGTATTTTGGCTAGTTGTGTCTGATCCCTTTTCTTTTTACTGTTGTGGTTCATGTTCTTCATCTTGCTCAGTTTGTTGTGTTTACAAAGATGCAAAGAAGATGATTCGATCTCGTAGTTCTTTCCTTCATCTAATGGTCCTAAACGTACAATGGAGATGATTCGATCTCGTAGTTCTTTTTTTCAGCTAATGGTCCTACTTCTTGAGACAATAAGGAAAAATACAGATATGCAGACAAACAAATTGTACTAATGCTTGATGAACTAGAGAAGACAGAAATATCATAGCATTGCTTTAATATTTTCTAGAGACGCGAACCAAAAATAAAATTTCTTTGATATTTGTGAAAGTATACAGGCTTTGGCTCTCATCTTTGTTTGTTTCCATTAATTTTATGGGAATATTAAACATATGGAGTTCCATAATATAACAATCCAGTCCCGTTTTTTCTGTTCACGATTAAGAAAATAGTGTTATTTCAATCTCAAGCTAGTTGCGGCCAGCTATATAATCTTATAAATTCATTGTCCGATTTAGGTCCATTTCAAAATTATTCTGAGTACTGCTCATAGATAGATTATATTTACAATGGTTGGCAACCTACCATCGTCCTCTTTTATCCGCAATGGAGTCGGGAAAAATTCATATATCCAGTGTTCACACCAGACCAATGTTGTTCTTTTAATGCATCTTTATTACTAGCAATAGTTATTTAAAGTAAAATGTATTTTCACTTTAAAGTATAACTTTCTGGTTAACTAATGCATTTGATATAAACACTTGATGTCGGTAAAGATTTTTCTGTATTGGTTATGCTTTGTGAGACTCATGTAAATATGTAATTGAAGTTTTACCCGAGAACAGAAATAAATGCTTTCTCTGAGTTCTTTCGTAGGAAAATTACCCTGCATTTTTCATCCTCTGGTAAATGGAAGGATCATATAAATATCCTTTGATCTTACTTTGCTTTTATGAGTATCTTGAAAACTAGAAATCAGTGGTGATCCTTGATCTTATAACATTGACTAAAGAAAAGATTCAGAAATTAGGAGCTTAGTCGACAACTTTTGGTATGCTTTTTGGTATTTGATTCTCTAGACGTTTGGGGAAATTGGTGGGGAGAAAGTGTTTCTTGTAATATGCTTATCAGTATCCCCAAGTGCTGGACAACATCAATTAATCTTTACAACAATGTTATTTTGGGTCTAATTTTTGTCAAAAATCTGGCTGACATCTTCACTTAGTTTACGTTTTGGTACACCCACTTGAAATCCAAAAGGTGGTTCTTCTTTTTTCTAAAAGCAACCTTTTCTTTTTGCCAGACCAAAATAAATGAAAATGAAAGTATGTTCTATTTTGGGGTTTTCTTTGCTTTTTCCTAATAGTGAAAGGAAAGCTGTTTACGAAAATCTAGCCTTCTTTGGTCCACTGGAGAAAGATAGAGTAAGTGCCATTTTAACCGTCGTCAAAAGACGGGATGTCGTAAGAGCTTAGAGCCTCATGTATGGATTAGGCGCACGTCATGATTCGTAATCATGTTGTAGTCAAAAGATTGATATTTTAGTGGAGAAGGATAAAGGGGTATAGTCATTATTCACCTAGTACAGAACCGTGTATCACTGGTTCCTAGCGATTTCTTAGTTAAAACTGTTGAATTTGTCAAGATTAATATGAATTAGTGTGAACATTTGAAGCCTCTTTTTTGGAAGAAATTGGTAGATGCATTTTTCATGCATTTACATTGCATGTTATTAATGTGTCATGCATGACATTATTAGGGTAATTTCCCTTCTATAAATAACAAGGGCTTTGTTCATTTGAAAATATCTCTCACTTGCCTTCTTATCTTTTAAGGCATTTGAATTTTCTTTCCCTCCTGTAGTATTTCACTTATATTTTTGGAGTGAAATAAAGTTTGAGTTGATTGTGTCCGAGGACTAGGCAAAAATCAAATTTTGCCGAACCTCGTTAATTTCTGATGTTCCTTTTATTATCATCTCATTTACTATTTATTAGCTACCTTTAGATGTAGTAGTTGTGATTTAATCACTCTCTATATATTCGGCTTCCGCAACAATTGGTATCAGAGCCAAGGTTCTATCTTAGTATGCTCTTTGGTTGCAGCATAGTCTGAACTTCCACATCAGAAAAGAATTACTTTGGTGTTCTGTACTGTTAGCAAATAAATAGTATCTGTAGCGAAAATGGGAGATAATAAAAAAGAAGAATCTACATCAAGTGTCAATAATACGTCATCGTTGACATCTTCGCTTATGACAAGAATTGTGTCAAATGCGAAATTTGCGGTAAAATTTTGACGGGTCAGGACACTTTGGGATGTGGCAAGCCGAGGTTCTAGATGTCCTTTTTTCAACAAGGGCTAGATCTTGCCATTGAAGAAAGGAAACCAGATGTTATTGGAGAAGAAGATTGGAAAATTATCAACCGTGTTGCTTGCGGTACCATTCGATCCTACCTTGCTAGAGAGCAGAAATATCCATACACAAAGGAAACTTCTGCAAGTAAATTATGGAAAGCACTGGAAGATAAATTTTTGAATAGTCAAAATAAATTGTACATGAAAAAAAGACTGTTTCGCTTCACCTATGTTACTAGTACCACAATGAATGGACATATCACCAGTTTCAATAAGTTGGTCACAGATTTGCGAAATATGGATGCAACTTTTGATGGTGGTGACTTGGCCTTGATGTTGTTGGGATCACTTCCTGATGAGTACGAGCACCATGAAACTACTCTACTCCATGGAAATGACGAAGTTTCTCTCAGAGAAGTTTGTTCGGCTTTGTACAACTATGAACAAAGAAATAGAGAAAAACAAAAGGGCGGAGAAGGAGAAGCACTGATTGTGAGGGGTCGTCCTCAAAATCAAACGAGGATAAAGAAGGGAAGATCCAAGTCAAGATCTAGACCCAGCAAAGATGAATGTGCTTTTTGTCGAGAAAAGGGGCACTGGAAGAAAGACTATCCGAAGTTGAAGAATAAGGCCAAACATAACAATGGAAAGGCCATTATGGATTCAAATGTAGCTGATTGTGATGATTCAGACTTCTCATTAGTTACAACAGAGTCATCAACATCATCAGACATATGACTGATGGACTCAGCTTGTAGCTATAATATGTGTCCCAACAGGGACTGGTTCGTAGATTTTCAAGAAGGAGAATATGGAGTTGTCCACACAGCGGATAACAACCCTCTTACCTCATATGACATTGGTTCAATACGATTAAGGAACCATGATGGAATGATCAGAACATTAACAGATGTTCGATATATACAAGGTTTGAAGAAGAATCTCATCTCTGTGGGAGCCCTAGAATCAAAAGGGTTCAAAATCATTACAGAAAATGGAGTGATGAGAATATGCTCCGGTGCACTAGTGGTAATGAAGGCCAATCGGAAGAACAATAACATGTACCACTATCACGGTAGTACAGTTATTGGGGCAGCGACAGTGATATCCAGTGACGATAAAGAGGCAGAAGCAACCAGGCTATGACATATGCGCTTGGGACATGCTGGAGGAAAATCCTTGAAAACTCTATCAGATCAAGGATTGTTGAAATGAGTAAAGACTTGCAACTTGGAGTTTTGCGAGCATTGTGTCAAAGGGAAACAAAAAAGGGTTAAATTTGGTACAACGTTCCATAATACTAAATGCATTTTGGATTATGTACACTCTGATGTTTGGGATCCTTTCAAAACACCTTCATTGGATAGGAAGCACTATTTTATAACATTTGTTGATGATTTTTCTCGAAGAGTGTGGGTGTATACAATGAAGAGGAAAGATGAAGTATTGGGAATTTTTCTCAAATGGAAGACGATGGTGGAGAATCAAACAAGCAGGAGGATCAAATTTATTCGCACAGACAACGGAGGTAAATACAAAAATGATCATTTCAATAAGGTCTGTGAAAATAATGGCATCGTCTGACACTTCACTGTCAGACATACACCACAACAGAATGGAGTGGCAGAACGTATAAACCGGACCTTGTTAGAGAAGGTTCGGTGTATGTTGTCCAATGCTGGATTGGGCAAAGAATTTTGGGCTGAGGCAATTATATATGCATGCCACCTCCTTAATCGTCTACCATATGCTGCTATTGATGGCAAGACACCATTTGAAAAATGGTATGGAAAGTCTGCTGTAGATTATGACTCTTTGCGCGTGTTTGGCTCAACTGCATATTATCTCTAAGGGCAAAGAAGGCTATTTTTATGGGGATTATTTCTGGAGTCAAAGGATATCGCTTATGGTGTCCTATGACAAAGAAAGTAATATTCAACAGGGGTGTTACCTTTGATGAATCTGCTATGGTAAATAAGGTAACAGATGAAGATACCAAACAAGATGAGGGTGCTTCTAAGCAGGTGGGGTTTGAGGGAAAATTTATTTTTCCTACATAAGAAGTAGTGGATGAAACAAATGAAGATTATCCTCCGGAAGAAGAGCCAGTAGAGGGGGAAATTCCAACATAGGAACCCCAATAACAACTTGAATCAATAGCAACCAGCATGCCAAAAAGAACAATGAAGAAACCTGTTCGTCTCATAGAGACGGTGGCTTGTGCGGCCTCAATTGTAGCTGATGGTGTTCCTATCACTTATAAAGACGCAGTCCAAAGTTCAGAAGAAGATAAGTGGAGGATTGCTATGAATGAAGAAATGCAGTCCCTTCATTAGAATCGCACATGGAAATTGGCCAATCTCCCGAAGGGAAAGAAAGCAATTGAGTGCAAATGGGTATTTGCAATGAAAGAAGGATTTCCTAACCAGGAAGATGTTCGCTACAAAGCAAGATTTGTGGCCAAAGGATACGCTCAAAATGAGGGAATTGATTATAATGAGGTGTTTTCTCCAGTCGTGAAACACTCATCCATTAGAGTTTATTGGCTTTGGTAGCACAGTTGAATTTGGAACTAGTTCAGTTAGATGTAAAAACTGCATTTTTACATGGAGACTTGGAAGAGGAAATCTATATGACTTAGCCAGAAGGATTCAAAGTTGCTGGAAAAGAAAATATGGCGTGCAAACTTGAAAAATCGTTGTATGGATTGAAACAATCTTCTAGACAATGGTACAAATGATTTGATAAGTTTATGTTGCGGCAGAAGTACAGAAGAAGCAAATACGATCATTGTGTGTATTTGTGCAAGCTTGAAGATGGATCCTCCATATATCTTCTCATATACGTTGATGATATGTTGATAGCTTCCAAAAGTCAAGAGGAAGTTGAGAAGTTGAAGATTCAACTAAGAAAGGAGTTTGAGATGAAAGATTTATGTGAGGCGAAAAAAATTCTTGGCATGGAGATAAAAAGAAATAGACATTCAAAGAAACTCTATCTATCTCAGAAAGAATACTTGATGAGAGTAATCGATCGATTTGGCATGAATGACAACACGAAGTCGGTTAGCACTCCACTTGCTCCTCACTTTAAGCTTAGTGCTGCTATGTCGCCGAAGAATGAAGCTGAACGAGAGTATATGTCAAGGGTGCCATATGAGAATGTCGTTGGTAGCTTGATGTATGCAATGGTTTGCACAAGACCTGATATTTCACATGCTATCGGAGTTGTAAGCAGGTATATGCATGATCCAGGAAAGGAGCATTGGCAAGCTGTAAAATGGATTCTACGGTATATTCGTAATACTGTAGATATTGGATTGATTTTTGAGCAGGAAGATAGTTAGTATCTGGTTGGATATTGTGACTCAGATTATGCTGGTGATTTGGACAAGTGTAGATCAACTACTGGTTATGTTTTCACTTTTGCAAATGCACCAGTTAGTTGGAAGTCTACTTTGCAGTCAACAATTGCTTTGTCTACTACTAAGGTAAAGTACATAGCAATTACAAAGGCTGTAAAGGAGGCAATTTGGCTTCAAGGATTGCTTAGAGAGCTTGGTATTGGTCAAGAAAACATCACACTATTTTGTGATAGTCAGAGTGCTATCTAATTAGCAAAGAACCAAGTTTATCATGCAAGGACGAAGCACATTGATGTTCGATATCACTTTGTACGAGATATTATAGAAGAAAGTGGAGTCATGGTGCAAAAAATTCGAACTACAGACAACCCTGCCGATATACTAACAAAAGTAGTGACTGCGATCAAGTTTCAACATTGTTTGAACTTGATCAACATTGTTGAACTTTGAAAATTGAATTTGAAGACACAATCAAGATTTATCAGTGAAAGAAAATTGAAAAAGTGGAATCTTGCCAAGGTGGATATTTGTTTAATTTGTCAAGATTAATATGAACTAGTGTGAACATTTGAAGCCTCTTTTTTGGAAGAAATTGGTAGATGCCTTTTTCATGCATTTACATTGCATGTTCATACTTAATATGATGTCATGCATGACATTATTAGGGTAATTTCCCTTCTATAAATAGCAAGGGTTTTGTTCATTTGAAGATATCTCTCACTTGCCTTCTTATCTCCTAAGGCATTTGAATCTTCTTTCTCTCTTGTAGTATTTCACTTGTATTTTTGGAGTGAAATAAAGTTTGAGTTGATTGTGTCCGAGGACTAGGCAAAAATCAAATTTTGTCGAACCTCGTTAATTTCTGGTGTTCCTTTTATTATCATCTCATTTACTATTTATTAGTTACCTTTAGATATAGTAGTTGTGATTTAACTATCTATATATTCGACTTCCGCAACAATTGGTATCAGAGCCAAGGTTTTATCTTAGTATGCTCTGTGGTTGCAGCATAATCTGAACTTTCACATCAGAAAAGAATTACTTTGGTGTGATTTGATGGTTGATGCTTCTAGAACTAGTTTTTCTTGGCAAAGATAGATACGAAGTCACTCGACTAAAGGAGATGGACAATCACAATATTACACTCCAAAACTATATAACCTTCCAAATGATGTACGCGGAATGTCTTGGAAGGGACAATAAGAAAACGAGACTTAAACAACAGGTTCCTAGAAAAGTTCTGTTTTAGAATTCCACAAGTTTCATGGTTCGTAATTCTATTGCAGTCAAAAGGTTGGCATACCAGTGGAGAAAGATAAAGGGGCGGATTCATTATCCACCTAGTTTAGAACCGTGAATCACTAGTCGACTTCGCAGTTATAAAAAAGAAATCTAGCCTTCCTTACTTCCCATCAAAAGTTTCCCGCACAGTATAGACGGATTCGACTACCACTATTCCCTAATCTCTCATTCTCATTTCTCTTTCCGTTGCCCTTCTCTGGTCCCTCAATATTATGCAATTAAAAAGAAGTCCTCATTAAACCTTTTCCTATTGGAAACATTTATTTTGCTTTTAGCTTAAAATGAATTAATAATAAAAGAGTCAGATGCCTAAGCTATTCTCGAGTGCCAAACAAGTGGGCTTTGCAATCGAAATTGATGATTATTTTCGGTATTTCCTTTGATTAGAGTGACCTCACAATAATACTTTATTTAATCATGATTCGGACATTTCCCATCACTAATAAAAAGATATTTGCTATCATCAGCCTGTGATAGTATTAGATAATATAGATTAAACAAAAAGTTAATCTTTTTACTCGAGAAATAAAGAGCAGTAGACTAGCAGTATTCAATATTGATAGAAAAGAAAATTCAATACTAAGTTGAGACAATTACAAATCAATTTCTAAAACACAATTCGCTCATTCAACTTTTTTCTTATATGAAGAAATATATATAATTTTATTGATAAATAATATGGGTATAAATTCTGTTAGTACTCATCATTCTTCTCTCCTGATGAATTGGGTTACATGAGAAAGGTGAAAGCGCAAAGTGAGTCATTATAAATGAAGTTATGTATGATTTTTGCAATAATTATTGATGTACTTTGAGGACCATTAGACCACTTTCTTTCTGCAGCCTCCACAGATTCTTATTCTTAATAAAAACATCATTAGCTTTAATAAATTACCCACTAAACTAATAGCATTAACAATTTATTACTAAAACTTAAGGTTGAAGCCTTCTAACATCAATCTGTAGCAGTCAAAAGACAAATTCATCCAACAGGGATACCATATTTTATTTCTGCATTATGCTCAAAATAGCTCTTTATTAGTCACATTCTTTACCTTTATATTGAGGGTTCAAATTCCCCTCTCCATCTAATGGAAGGAAGACTAGTTCTTTATAGTACTATTTTTTTTTTTTTTTTTAATTTTACCCAAAAGGAAGTGCTCCTTTCTCTATTCGAATCCAAGACTGAGAACATTACATCGAGTCCATAGTCTTTCTTAGTGACAATTAAGTAGGCGTTTGGGCATAAAATTTTAAAATTTTAAAATTTTGGTTTTTGAAAAACTCATTTTCGATTTTTTTTTCAAAAAATTGCAAAACTTCATGGACAAATACATTTTTGAATTTTTTTCTTTTGAAAAAAAGAATTTTTTAATGGACAAACGGGGCCTAAGACTCATAATGAAATGATTCATCAAGACTAGCTTTCAAGGCCTCCAAGTATAGTTCAAGTGACAAAGGTTGAGGGACTAGTGACTCAGGTCACAGGTTCAACACTGCACCATGCGAACTAAGCCTGGTATTTAATTGAAGAAAGGTACCGATTATTTCCGAGTTTCGACAGCTGCGGTTATCCTAAGGGTTGTCCCTAGACGAATTTCTCGGTCATAAGAAAAAAAAATACATTTGGAAATCTTTGAGAATTATGTCATTTTGAACCTTGTAGTCCCCTTGTACTTTCATCATAATTATGCACTAAAAAGCCTTAATTTGACATTTTTCACTAATTGCAAGAATGAGTTGTGCTTTTAAAATACTAGCCATTTATGCCACATTTTGAGAATTGCTAAACTATATGAAGGCTTATTACACAAAATTTGTGAAGGAAAAAACCACATGTAATAAGATAACTTTGTTCATTGTCTACTTCTGCCACTAAACTTCCCAGTAAATGAGGAAATAACCACACACACAAAAAAAAAAAAAAAAAAAAAAAAAAAAAAAAAAAAAAAAAGGAAAAGTTTATCCCCTACAGAGTCCAGGCCTTTCTTGTTCTTCACTAATTACCTTAGAAGCTGACAATGAACAAACTCCAATATCACTTATTGTCTTTCTTGAATGAAACTGCTGTTGAGAATTTTTGCAATGAGCAATTGCTGCTTGAATTGAATTCTCTATTTCTGAATATGCACTACTGCTTCTCTTAAAGAAATGCATATCTTGAAATTCATTTGAATTGTTTGAACTTGAAGCTGAGGAGGAACCAGAAGACGACGTAAATGAAGAAGAAGATTTAGCTGTTGAAAATCTTTTAATAGCTCCTGAAAATGATCTTCTATGTCTACCTCTGTGATCTTGATCAACAACATTTTCTTTGTTCATTCCTTTTGAATATGCACTTCTCTGAATTTGCCCAAATGGCTCTTTTTTTGCTTCTTTAGCCATTGGTACAGACCCTTTGTCAAAGTTTGCTGAGTACTCATTTGAACAACCAGATTTGGAAAAGAAGGACTTGACATAAGCGCGAGAGGATTTAAGTTTTGAACCAAACGAGGAATTTTTAATCAGCTTGAGTTTTCGCGTCCAGGACCTTTTTGAACTTTCATCTACTGGATTGAAGCTAGTAGCTTGATCTTCTGTTGAGTATTCGAACATGTATTCGTCCGGATTGAGTTCCCGACTAACTTGACAGGAATCAGAGGGAGAAATATTGCAAGATTCAAATGGTGTATTATTTGTAGGAGTATTAGTAGTAGTTGTGAATAAAGGTGTACTAAATGAAGACTCTTGAAAAATATCATTTTTTCTAGTTAAATGAACTGATTTATTGGGATTTTGAAGAAGTTTTTCAACCATTTGTTGTGTACCAAAAGGGAGATGAAGAGGGAGAAGTTTACCATTGTGGAATAGTTCATCAGCTGGTGAAGTTGTTGTGTCTTTATCTATTGAATTTGGTAACATTTGGAACTCAAATTCTCTAGCTTGAGATGGGGAGTTTTTGAATTGTGAAAATATATTGGAATGTGAACTTAATTCCATATCTATGTAATCTTCTTCTGCATTGTCACATGAATGACGAATTTCTGCATATTCCATAGTTTTTTTTTCCTTCTTTTTCTGTGAGTTGGAAGTGTAAGTTGAGCTTTGAGAGCAAATGCTAAGGAAGAAGACCATTTTAAAGAGGATAGAGGTACAACTTTTTCTTTAAAAAAATGGCTGCAAATATTAGGCATATATTTTAAACAAAGTTTAGGACATAAAAGGGGAAAATCGTATTTTGGTCATGTTTGTGTTGTTTAAAATTTTTCTTAAAATTTCCTCTGATGGCTGATGTAATTTATTGTGAGATGTGTAATTTTGAAATTAAAATCCCTCAAAATATGGGATATGTAATCTTGAAAATAAGATGACTTACCAGAAAAAGTAACATTATGGTGTAAGATTCTTTATATTGACGGTGTATATTACTTAAACTCGTCAAATGTCTTTCTCCTTCTCCAAAAGGTAATTAGGTATCATTAATTAAACAAGAAAGTTTTAGTTACGGCCGTCGTTTACTAGGGCTTTGGTCGCTAGCTCCCCTGTCATCAGGTCACCAACTTCCATGACCTTTTGGCACGAGCATACGCTCAATGTAGGGGTGTACATAGGTCAGGTTGGTTCGAATTTTATAATTTTCAAACCAAACCAATTGTGTCGGGTTATTAAATCTAAAGACCAAACCAAACCAATAAAACTCAGGTTTTTCAATCTCGGTTTTTTCTGGATTTTTTTCGCTAAAATCTTCGTAAAACAAAACATATAACTTGTGCTCAAAATATTTCGTTAATCCTAGTAAGATGCAACTATATAAAGTATTTTCCAAGAAAATAATATAAAATATGAGATGTGTCATGGCATTATCCTAAAATATTCAACAATAAAGACAATAAAATTATGTAATATAAATATTGCTAATTAAAAAGCCATAATAAAAATAACATAATCTAAAAGTACTAAGTCATGTTAAAATAAGTGGACTAATAAGGGAGTATTAATTACATGACTAAACACTAAAGAAAAAAGAAAAATAGGTTATGCATTTTTATCCAAAATTATTGAAAACAAAAAATAGATATTCAATACATTCCCGTTCGTAGTATTGAATTGAATGTCTTTTGTTAGCATTAGTATTGATTTGATTTTGGTTTGGGCTTTTGTTAGTATTATTTAATTTACTAATATTAATGGCTATAAAACTTATTGGAACATTCAAAAGTTTTAAGTCCAACATTGAAATAATACCTTAAAAGATAAAATTATGAAAAAATTTAAGAAATATTTATAAATTACATCACAATAAATATATTTATATATTAAATATATCTAAAATTTATATATATGTAATGTTGGGTTGGTTTGGTTTCGGTTTGACTTTCTTTGGTTAAAACCAAACCAAACCAATTATGGTCGGATTTTTTTTCCAATACCAAACCAAGCCAAATCAAACCAAACCATAGTCGAGTTTTTTTCTTGATTTGACTCGGATTATCAGGTTGGTGCGGTTTGTCGGTTTCCTTTGTACACCCCTCAATGAATCATTGATCATATATATTACTAGTGCATCACCAAATCATTGACATCTTCTTCTTTTTTTCGTTCTTAATTAGAACCAAGTCTATCCTTTACACTACAAAAAATATTTTAATTAGTTAGGAACTTCGTCGCTAATCTATCGCAAATCATTTGTAAGTAACAAAATTTCTTGATAATCTATTGCTAATCTGTCCCTATCATTAGCGGCGGATTTTAATTAGCGATGAATTTTTTTGTTTAACTACAAAATTTATCCGTCGCTAATTCATGTTTTTGAATAGTGTTATTTTCTTGGAGTGTAAAAATATTTAAATAGTTTCATTTCTCAAAACTTTTTCTATATTATATCATGATTTTCCCCTATAAATTAACAAGAATGTGCATGAATGTGTGCATGGCACTTTAACTAACACAGTAATTTACTTTAGAAAAAGTACACAAAATGATAAATATAATAATACTTGGAGCTTACGAAGCACTATGCTTTGCCTAGTTTCCTACTTTTACTGGATTCCAGGAGCTTTAATTTAACTTTATCTTGTTGTTTTTTTCAAGTAAAAAACAATGTCACTTCTCCTTGGCATATTGTCCCTTCACCTAAATATTTTCACTTATTGTGCATCTTTTCCAATAAAACTAGTAATTTATGCATATAAAAATGGCATAAAATTAAGAAAAGAACAATAAATAGAATTGTTGACCTTGAACTAATAAAGAAAACAGAACAAAAAAAATACACACGATCCGACAGTTTATGGTGGAGGAGAGAAAGGTTGGAGAGGAATGGGGAACTCGAAACACTTTCTTCATTTCTTTTTAACTTGAAACTTCACCACTCTTTTTTTTTTTTGGCCTTCTAATATGAGTTCAAATTACATATATTAAACTTTAATTTTATCATTCCAATCAGGAGCATGATTTTCACTAAAGGAATTCAAAAGATAAATAAATTAATTAAATACGCAAAGAAGTTAATAGGATTCAACATGACCTAATATATATGCATGAATTTTTTTTAACCTTATATATTCAGTATAATTTTTGGCGAAGGGAGTTTGGCTTCGCTTTAGTCTTATTCTTTTGGTTTCTTATTTGGTGTTTCGTATTTGCAGTGGGGCACGAACTAATTACATTGTGTGTGATCCATTAAAGGAGAAAATGTTCCCTAGCAGAAATTTTTTCTTTCTCAGAGCTCGAACTCAATGTATTTGATTAAAGGTGGAAGAATCCTATTTGTTCTATTACAATCCTTAATGATCATTTTTATTTAGTCATTGTAACAGCTTATTATCTCTTTTTCGTGCTATCATTCGTGTTTACTATCGATAGCTATTCTCTAACTCGTTTAATTGCTTGGTATATAGGATGAAGATCGAATCATAAAATCTTTAAGAAAAAGTTTAATAAAGTAACTATTTGCTTTAAAATGAAAATGGACTTAATACAATTCAATAAAATCTAAGAAATGATCAAACTATAAATAATTTTCGAACTTGAATTTATTTTTAGGTTTCAAGAATAAAGTTAGGAGATACAACGTATAACTCTTATAAGTTTATAGTTTACGTACTCAAAAGTAATGAATAAATCGGTCGATTGGAATTGTTGGATATATAAATATTATAGATGATGTCTCAAATTTCTTTTATGTCTGTCACTTTATTTTGGTTAACGTTATTTACGTATAATGATAAATGAATCAAATACTTTTATTCAACTTATTCTTTCAATTGATATTGAGATTTTTGTCTATCCTTCGTTCTTCTTTTTTCTTTTTAATTAAAACTTAGCTAAGTGCTTCTATACATATGAATTTGAATTTTTGAAAGTTTATGATCTTGGGGATTGTACATTTGCTGCCAACCTTCATCTAAACAATGAATGTTAGAACATTGAGAATATGGTCTCAAGAAACAACAAGAACTTGCTCCAGGTAATGAAGTGAGACTTTTAGACGATTAATCAGTTCCCAACTTTCAAAGTGGATATAGAAAGCCAAATTAAAAAACAAGAAATTCTTTAACTCCAATTTAAATCAATTCGAGTAGGTGTTTATGTCGTTGCTAATTGCGTAATATAGAGCATTCTTGCCCACAAATTGCACATTAGTTGCCTCTGAGAACAACCAAAGGGCACAACTTTTTTTTAGAGAGACAGAAAAGGAAATAAAAGAGCAATTAGAGGCAGAGTGGATGATATATGACCCACCAATTGCAGAAAATGTGGAAGTTGTTGTTCTAATTGTTCATCTCAAATTAGATAACTTTTCTTAGTTCGAACAATGAGGGCCTTCACTGCCTGATATCCCCCTGCACTTTGACCAAATTTGATATGCTTAATTAACTACCTCAAAATCTGCACGTTTGGCTCTCAGTTTTTACTAAAATGGTCAAAATATAACGAAGTAAACCCACGAAAAATCAAAGGAGTGTCAATAAATAGTACATATACATAAAAAAATATTTTTTTTTTACCTAGCTACATAGCGTAATTTTCTGACAAAGGTTTGGTAGGGACATTGATGATGTCCATCTCATTGAAGAAGTATTAGGCATG